ACAAATGCATCCTCTGAAAGTGCCTAAAATTCTCAAATTCTTTGCGCGCATTTCTTGTTACGGTAGGCCAATTTCCCTTATAAATTGCACATTTTAGGGAGTTTTCATCAATTCCGACGAAATTAGAATTAAAAACACAAAAATATTTTGCGCGCTTGGTGCGCATTTTTTAGGGGTTTTTTTTAGTTTTTTCATTTTTAAGTTATTTAAACACATAATTCCTGATGATGACATAATTAATGTCGAAATATTGAATCCCAACACGATGGCGTGCATTTCAATACTTGGAGTATGTATTATATTTTCTTATGTGAAAGAATATGTTTGTAATAAATAAAACCATGATGAAAATGCTTATATTTAGTTTCAAACACACGTGTGTGGCCTATATTATAAATAAGATAAGACAAATGCATCCTCTGAAAGTGCCTAAAATTCTCAAATTCGTTGCGCGCATTTCTTGTTACGGTAGGCCAATTTCCTCTATAAATTGCACATTTTAGGGAGTTTCCATCAATTCCGACAAAATTAGAATTGAAAGCACAAAAATATTTTGGCGCGCATTTTTTAGGGCTTTTTTAGTTTTATCCTTTTAAGTTATTTAAACACAAAATAGTCCCAAACTCAAGAAAGACAAATTTAAGATACATCATTTTCACCTAAAAGAAGGGCCTCAATGTGTATAGATGGTGAAAGTATATGTTTGTAATAAATAAAACCATGATGAAAATGCTTATATTTATTATTATTATTATTATGTTGTAATGATGTTGTTTGTACTGTTCTTTAATTTTATTAAAGAGGGCCCCTGAATATCAGGTAACCTACTGGGCTAAACTAGAAGGGTTACCCTCTTTAAAGATGGTTGAAATTAAAAATTAAAAAAATAAAATAAATAAATACCCACTCTGACCCAAGACCCCTGTTACGCGCCTGGTGTTAGCACCAATGTGTGCTCTTGTGCGGACAGAGGATGTGACCCCCTCTGAAGCTGGAAACCTTGTTTTTGCAAAATAAATTGATGCAATTTACTATTATAGGCCTAATCAATAAATTCCTCATCAACCATTATAACCTTGGAATTGACATAACATCACTGATGTCGTACACACCCTTCAGTGTGAAATGTGGCTCTCTTTGCAAGCACATCTAACATCCAAGGAAAGAAGAGCTTAGATTGGTTCCAGATAAAATAATTTTGTTATCAACATTAATACATTATGCTAATTTTCATCTTTGTAAGCGCATAAGACAGTGCAAATTATTTCTGTGATAGTCTTTTGAAGTGTGTAAAGCTCCATTTTATCCCATACAGTCAAAATATTGGGGGGATGATACAATGGACCATCTCCCCCTTGTCAAAATTAGGGGAGGGGGAAGATATATGGCTTCACCCCCACCCCCCCCCCCCCCCGGGATCTACGCCTATGGTATTTAGTATGGATTACTTCAGTAAAGGAATAGTAATTGCTAATTTAAATGCTTCAAGCCCAGACGGTACACTCGAACCAGGGCCCCTCAGATCTTAGTTACGCCAGTGATGTCATCGCATCATATTTCTATCACTGCGTATGTAGATAAATCAGATATAATGCAAAGTATCACATTAGATGATAATAATGAAACAAATTACAGTATCTTTGTGGCACAGAGAATAAAAAAATACTGGAAGGCATAAACTATAGTGCATTTAAATCATATATAATGATTAACGAAGTCGCATAAAAACTTGAAACATATAACACGACAAAAATCGTTCTATCTTTAATAGAAAATAACATGTTAATAAGCATCGATTTTTAAAATAAGGCTTTAAGATATAAGCCTAGTCTAAACACCATGGCAGTGGTTTGTATGGAAGTGGTCTGAGGGGAAGTGGTCTGAGGGGCAGTGCTCACTCGGGTCACTGGAACACCCAGATTCATTCTGATTAGCATGATTAATAGTACCTATTCGGCCCAAAGGCTTATAAAATGGCGGCAAATCGTACCAGACTTCATAATTGACAGTTTGTATTATTAAAGCAACATATCTCGTATTACACATCCGAGATAAACCAATTTATCAACATCATCGGTTCTGCTTAGCAACCATCATTTTTAGTTTAAATTCTTCAATTAAGTTATTAAATTCCAAAGGTGAAAATAAAAAAATAAAAAAACGAGATAAAATTTTTCTCACAAACTAACGAAAAAGTACAATACAAAAAC